ATGAAAATTTTCACTTACATTGAAGGGGGTTACGAAAATTTTTCCATAGGTTTTTGGGAGGGTATGGAAATATGAACTTGAAATTTCATTTATCCTCCACCCTCCTATAGTAATTACTTTATGACCGGTCCCTTACTGGCCAGAAGGCGGAGCAGCCAGCCAGTACAGCGTGTTTATTAGCTAGAAAATGTCATTGGCTAGGAAAATGGCGGCCAACATGCGTAATGTGACATGCGCGAGGACAGAAACTTCAAAGCTTCCGACGTAAGTGGTCCTTCTATATGGATCTTTATTCTATGGACGTTACTCTCGACGAAGCACGCGAAAGAACGTCTGTGAGTTGGATGAAGATTCCTTGTTCTGGTCACGTGGATTTTCCACAGATTTGTGGAAAGGCCTCTGATTGGACAGTACTTTATTTGAATAATATATGAAAATGAAGATATTTCATTGGTTAATTGATAATTAGCATGCGTAAAATAACAACGCAATAATTTTAAATTCAGAGATTTCCTCAAGAATCAAGATTTCCTTCGGGGCATACATGCAAAGGTTTGAAAGATTTGAAATACCGTATATTAAATCTGTTGCGTTTAATTTTGTGCTGTATCGAAGTTAAGAAAATCAAGATAAAATTCTAGTGTTTGGACACTCAGCGAACAATGCTGACAAATATATAAAATACAACAATCTATCGGACGGAAATTGACAATTTATAATTGACAATTAAATTGACAATATGTTTATATCTCCCGACCCCCGAGACAAAGCATTTTCTTTAATGTGTTTAACTTGGCCTTACTTGGCCAGTTAATTTTTAATTAATTTAAAATGCACCTTTTGAATAACCAGTTGTGTTTATATTTAATACTTTGTCTTTGTAAACAACCATGCGCCATATGTACGCCAAGAACTGAGCTTGTACACCGGACTTGCCGGCTATGATCATTGTTCAGAATTGTTCGCATTCAAAACAAATCTCTTCATCGAGATATATGCAAAATATAAATTGTGTATTGTTTTTCAGATTATATTTCAAGTCTTTCAAACCTTTGTATGCCCCCAAGGAAATCTTGATTCTTGAGGAAATCTCTGAATTTAAAATTGATTGTGTTGTTATTTTAAACGCATGCTAATTATCAATTAGCCAATGAAATATATTCCTTTTGTCATATATTATTCAAATAAGGCTAATAAGCACTGTCCAGTCGGAGGCCTTTCCATAAATCTGTGGAAAATCCACGTGATCAGAACAAGGAATCTTCATCCAACTCAGATTGTTCTCTCGCGCGCTTCGTCAAGAGTAACGTCTGTACACAGGCTAGAAATTTGCAGTATCCCGATATCTGTGGGATACCAGACTTCCAAAACTCTTTTTTTTGTTTTTAGTATGCAGGACATTATGTCAGTTGAATTGCCCTTCAAAGTTTTTAGTTAGAATTGCCATTTAAAGTTTTAACCCTATGGAAATAAAATGAGTGACCTAAATTGAGCGAAACGAAAGTGGGCTGGGGGGGGGGGGCTGTACGCATCTCTAGTGGGTTGCAGGGGCAATGCCCGGGAAGCTTTGGTTACTTCAACCTGCAACATTTGCATTTTATCCTCTGGAGAAAATACACATGCAAAATATGGTACTTTTCAAGACTATTAAGCCTGGGACCAGTTTAGAGTCATTGAATCCTTTTTCAATTTCGATATGAGGAGATGAAAAGAAAGTATTGTAATGTTTAATTTGTTTCATATATAAATTTTGTTGGGACAAAAGTAGATGGCCTGCCACAGATAGGCAAGTAGCTGGTTGTTTTGGCTGGCAGCCATACAGCCCTGGTTATATGGGTCAATAACGTCATGTATGTGTTTATTTTAGCAAGCAACAATTGAGTAGTAATGTTACACGTACAAGCAGTCATGGCATCAGTTTCAGCAGCAGGGTTGGTCACAGGGGTATGGGTGGATCACACAGCAAGATAACTGCTGCATCTGGGAGTAAATGGAATGTGAATGATAAGATGCACCATAAACCTCCTGTTCAAGTAAGTCTCATTTTTGCACAAATTTGATCTTTTTTCGATGCAGTAAAGAGGATAAGCCTGACTTTGTATTAAGTAACTGGTAGTACCAGGCAACTAGAAAAAATATGACAAGAATTTATCATTTCCAGTAAAAGTATTTCTCTGGGAGCTGGAGGCTTCGCTTGAAACGTCAAAGTTCTTGTCATAGTTTCAGTCTAATCGCTCAAGTAAAAATAAAAAGTATATTTCAAGCTTCTGTCAAATTACTTACAGGTAATAATTACTTTCCTGAAATTTGTGGCCAAATCATGACCATGTACATGGTGTTGCCATGGAATTGCCTCTTGTGCCTGTAGCTACGTTACCTTAGAACTATTATTAACCGTGGTTAGAATGATTTGTATATTGCTTTTCTTTTACATGATCTGGATCATATTATTTCTTTCCAAACATCCTAATATTCAATTATTTTACACAATCATGAAATTGAAAAACTTAAGACCATTATCACCTTCCTTTTCTTGACATAGTCATTATTTTGTGATGGAAAATGTTTGCACCAGGTCCTGTTTATAATATTCTAAACTTACATTTAATGTCTATTCATTAATTTTGGGAATTTTATTTCGATTGCAATTACAAAAGAGGTTTAATAAATTTATTTTGTTGTTTCAATATTCCATTTTCAATTGTGAAATGAGAAATGTAAACTCTTTACAAATGATTGCGCAAGCAAAAGAACGTTTCTAATCACATTTAAATTCAATATGGTTGCTAGGGTGCACCTGCCTGCAAAGTCTCGATTTGCCCGTATGTGTGCCATCTGTCGATTTAGCCGCACGTATAGCCCATCTGCGCCATTTTGTTTACAAGATTCTGCAGGCCCTCTGGCAGTAGAGTCATGAGGGCCAGGAAGCTGCGTATTTCTCCTGATGATTTTCTATCTTCAATTCTTCTTTCAGCCACCATTATAAGGAAATATATAAGGAGAATTTCGACGTTTCGAAATTCATCGGGAGTTGCTAGCCAAAGTGACTGCAGACAAAGGACCTCCCGCTCGAAACGTCGAGGTTCTTCTTATATATTTTCAGTTAGTAGCATTCCCTACCAACGAAAGCTTGTTCATTTATATACAGTTTATTGCAATCTTGCCCTAATGGACTCGTTTTCATGTGGATATTTCGTCACAATTCGTGCACAATAGGGTTAAAGATAGCCTGGTTTGTGAGGGGGATCAAGATCAAAGAGAGAGATATATTGTGCGCGAAACATGGGGATATAATCTTCATGTGCCTCTGGCAAACATGAAAACGTTAAAACAGGCCGCGGACATGAAAACCATACCATTGGAGCAAGTGCAATAAACAATAAAGTCTATTAAGTAAAGAATGTTTGTCGATAGTACTGACGCACTGGATGTAAAGGAATCCTCCTTGATAGGTTCTTGACGACATGGGCAATGACGTCACTCCAAGAAGTCTGTCGACACTGGATGCAAATACTGTAAAGTAAGTATTCAAGATAGATTGCAGACTAACGGATAAACATCCCAATATTCGCCCTGTTTAAGGTCACAAGCATTTTTATGGGCGTGCAATTATAGGGAGGGGTGAAAGAGGCTTACGTACTGTACGATCGGAATTTTGTATTTGTATTTTGGATAAATGTATTTTGAGCGTCGTAAGCAAATATAGTTTCGCATTTGAAATAGTGAAATAAGCAGCCTGGTATACAATGTCCAAGTGTGAAAACTTCAAATAGCTTGTTTTCAAAAACAGATATTAGCATACCAATTTGTCACAGTGTTCTTGTTCATGCATTTATAAGTGCATGCGTGGTACACCGCTATCACCAGAAGCGCGTGCGTCTACATGCACTCCCATTATCTTACGTACACGAGAAGAACAAGAGAAAAGTAAGGAGGCTATTTTCCTTTTTGCATGAGAGCCGTATATGGTAACTATACTATCCTGAGAAGAGTTTTCAAATATTTTGGGCCTAAACGATGTTTTGAGAGGATATATACATAATATGCTCTTGGAATAGGCAATGGCCTCCTTTAGTGATGTCGAGCTCCGAGACCCCTGTATCTCACCATGGATAATAGAATAAATGGATAGGAAACTAGCTGACGTGACCTAATGTTTTCAATGGGCTGATGGCGTGATTGGATGTTGAAGCCTAGTTGCAAACCAAATTCTCAAAAACGGCATGTTTAGCATTAATACAGCTAAACATTTTAGTCAAAGAGCAAATGACAAACTACGCCATTCTACGATGAAATCTCTAAGTATTCCCAGTCAATTTTAGCAAATATTTCAAGCACTAAACAGTTAAAAAGGCATCCCAAATTTCGTTAAAATTGGGGACGCCAATTTCGTAGCTACAAATGTAAAAAAATACAAAACAAAGACGAAAAATATTTACCTTGAATACTTTGTCGTGGCTTAGGCATGTTTTTAAAACAATTAGACCAGTATATGCTTCAATATTACTCTTTTAAAGCGGAAAGTATAGCGAAACAACAAAAATGCCGGGAACTTTGCAATACGGGTGACGTCACAGATTGCAACTAGGCTGTTTTTGCTTACGTCAGCTAGAGTCCTATCCATTTATTTTATTATCCATGATCTCACACAGAGCATTGTACGTTTGTACGAAATGTCGTGTATACGATTTTTGCAATCTTCTATTATTTGTAGACGTGTTAACAGTAACAATGGCGTGTTTGGCAGTGATTCCATGGCGACTGTAAGTGCCAATTACGTCAGTTTCATCTCAGTAACTTTTCCCAAATAGAAAATTAAATCGTAAATGTTAAAAATTCGGTTATCGAATACTGTCCTCAATAGACCATATAGAAACTGATTTATATACATAAAATCTCTCCAGTGATTTTAGTCTTTTCAGCTGTGAGAATTCTTCCACCCATGATTTTTATCAACATTTTTATTATCAATGACGATTCTGGTGATTACGATTTAATGATATCAATTTTCCCCCCAAACCTTTTCCCATTTCCTCATATCCTGCGTGAACGAATTCAATAACTGTTTTATTATTTATTTCACGGAATACATAAAAAAGGTCGGCGAATCTTTCCTTTGAGAAAGCCATTTGTACTATAAGCCGCATAAATTAGCGTGACGTCATAGCGTGTTACATTGTTTTTCAATATATCACGAAATTACGTCAAACGTGGTATATTTGTTTTCAATATTCCACGGTGATGTCATAACTCCAAATTTGGGCAACTACCGAGCGGATATGACAATTTCACCGACAGCTCTTAGCCAATCAAAACTCTTGAGTTATTTTCACATGTGCACATGAATATCAGTGAATAATATACTGTACATGCCGATGGATGCGGAGGAAGGTTTTGTTAGATGGGTTGGCTGGACCCTGAAGGCCCGGCCACACTACAACGTCAACGATTAACGATCTTAGAATTGCTCATGATATAGCGATAACGATACATTTTTGACCAATCAGCGCGTTTTTACAAGCTGTCGTGTCATTATCGCGTGTAGTGTGACTGGACCTTTACACCTAGACGTATACATTTGCATTATTTTGCCATTTCTAATTTTTAACTTTAATGCGTTGTTTCTAGCCATCTGACCTAGGTCAGTCCATCTATGCTGCGAGCAACGCCAGTTTTCTTGGTGGTTTTTCTGGACGGTAAATATCAACATGTTTATGTCTTCACCTGCTCTTATACCAACACGATTCAAATTGATGATTGAAAAATAATGAAAATTCAAAGGAAATCAATGTTTAATTATGTGTTGTATCCACATATACAAAATTCTGCTAAGTTGCTAACCTTTTTTCTCGATTTTCCCAGTCCAATCGCTTCTTTTTTAATATTTCTTAAAACACAAGCTATATATACAGCATTCGCGCGTCTGTGTTGTATCTGAGTGACATACATCCTCTCGCCTTCGGTTCGAGTTTATAACTCTGATACAACACGGCTACTCATGCTGCATTATATTAGTTATACAATAACTTGTAAAGCATTCGTTTGTCTTGCTTCTTGAAGGTCACCTGAGTGGGATGAATTATTTCTGTGTTCTTATATGACTGTCTTTATCCCGCCTAATATCTAAACATGACGTCTTCGAAATATTTTTGTTGTAATTAAACAAACTGCACTTTGTATTACAACTTTAATACTGTCTGTTTAGGCCTACTATGTTTATTTTTTGTTTGTGCTTTCTGACCTTGCCGTTCAATACTAAATTATACAGGTCAAAATCGGCAGAAAAATGTGCATAATTTCCATGTGGGATAAAGCCATATGGTGAGATCTCACGTAGCCGGCCCATAGGCATAGATATCTTATATGAGCCGGCCTGACTGGCTCGTCTCGCATATGAACACAATTTGAATTTTATGTTCGTTAATAGCAAAGGGCAGATCGCACTCAGGTGAGTTTCCCATTAGGTGGGCTCATATGAACAGGCATTATAAACAAGAATTGTTTATGTGTCAATATAATAACAAAATTTCGGTTGATAGGAATACAAGGAGAACTGTATTTTCCAGGTAGTTGCATCCCTATCGGCCGAAGTTTTGTTATTATTGGCACGACCTACACAGACTGTTTAAGATTATGTGTCAATAATACAATACAATACAATACAATACAATACAATACAATACAATACAATAAAATTTTATTTAAACACGATTACAAGTTAAAGCATTAAAGCTTATGGGGTCGTGTGTTTACCTATAATTAATATAACGTTAATTACAATTAGAATAGACTAAATTATATTATATTATTATCAAATATACATATGTTATACTAGCTGTCCAACTGTCAATAATACTTAAAACTATCGTCTTGTCTATACGCGCTGTTTGCACCGATTGCGCTTCAAAATTTACAAAACTTAAGGTTTTCTTTTCCTTACACTTTTTAATAAAGGTGTTGATATTTGTTTCAAGGTGCTTAAATTCTGTTGATATTGCATTCCAAATAACAGAGCTCCTGTAGGTGACTGAGCTCTTCATATAATATGTGTTAAATCGCGGGACATTCACTTTGTGTGCGTTACGTAATTTATACTTATTGGCAGTTTTTTCAATTATGTGAGACATACTAGCAGGAGTAATGTTGTTATACACTTTATAAGCTAGTTGTGCCAGTCTTATCTTATATATTTGGGTAAGTGAATCCCATTTCACTTTCTCTAAGACTTCAATGGTGGGCATATCGCGTGGTAAACGAAATATGACTCTTGCAGCTCGGCAATGTAGGGACTCCAGGGAAAGGAACCTTCTTTATTGGTACATCCACCCCAACTTGTTCTGGAATTTTAAAGCTAAGTTACCCTTCTGTTATATTGTTTAATATAGATCAGTGATGGGCAGCGTTACAGTGTCAGGTTGGTCCTCGCCTGAATCAATCAGTGAAGACCTGGCTGAACCAGGAACAAGACGTTATGATCTGGGGGCAGGATTGGGAGGTAGAACCTCGTCTTTATGGTAATCGTTCCATGTTTCGCGCACCAATATAGTAAACGTTATGTAATGGATATTATAGTGTACTGCAAAGTCAACTGGATACCTCCATATACATATATACTAACCCTAACCTTAAACCTAACCTTAACCCCTAACCCCTAACCCTAATCTATACTGGTGCGCGAAACATGGAACGATAACCGTCTTTGTCTTTGGTAATACTTGAAATAAATTAGTATAATTATACTATAATTACAATATGCATATATGCAACAACGCCTCGCATTTTAATTTTTTTTGAAAATAATCTATTTACAACAAACAATTTAATTAAGAAATGATGAATTAAAACAAAAATCCAAAGATCATACTCCAACAATTTTATTTTGTTTTAACATGAAGTACTTCGAAATTGGTGGTAACCATGGTTGTAGGGTCATATTTTCCTATGATTTTCCTATTATTTTTCCAAACTGAGGAAAACTATGCGAAGATTTGTATATAGTTAACTACAGAATTTTCAACCCCCATGTAAAATAACGTTCATTGTTAATTAGTAGACATTAGAGAGTTTAAGCTTCGCGTTATACGTCAAACGGCAAACGCCAGGCAAAGAAAAATTGTACGGTATCAGGCAATAAAGAGTAAATAAACTTGCTGTTTTAAAACTGAAATACATAATTATTCCTTCGACGCAAGAAAGAAAATATGAAACGAAAACGTTCAACGAAAATTTTGCCAAGAAAGTTCGAACCTCCCGTTTGCCGTTTCCGGAAACATGAAGCTTAAACTCCCTATTGTACAGTATGAACTCTAATTTTATCCAAAACTCAATCTTAAAAGCATATTCATAAGCGAGAAACGTCGTGTTTGAAGTGAGAAACGAGAAACGTCGTGTTTGAAGTGAAATCTTTGAAATGAAGCGAATTCTTAAAACAAAGCTATATTGAAAAACTACAAATGCACTGAAAAGATTTTTTTAAAGTTATACAATTTTAATGCGAATTATAGAACAATTAAACAAAGTGAATAGCATACCTTGAATTGTTCATACCCTAGTCTATTTTGCCGTGTCGTACATGTTTCAATTTCGTTTTTCCTAGTCTGTTTCCAAAATCTCGCTCCTTTATCTCCTTACACTCCTGATATGCACCATACTTTTCAGATCAATGAGATGACCACCCAAGCACGATAAACCATATTGCCATTAGTGCCCTTCTTCCCGAGTTGTTCGGGGATTAACTAATTTTGAGTAATTGTTTTACTGCATATAATTGCGGTGCCCAAATGAAGTAGGCATCGCTTTATATTCGGTGCGCGAGTTTGTACGGCCGATTTACACTTAACACAACTTTTGCCTACAGCTGTCGCATACAACCGTGTGCTGTGTAAATCAACTAATCAAGCACATAGCTCGCCTAAATTGTCGTAGGTGAGTTGTGTGCTTGTGATTTACACAGTACAACTCAAGTTGTAACTTGCAAGCAGTGAGGCCATTGGAAAAAAGATTTTAATGATACCCAGTTTATTTTATTTTTCAAAATAACGGCACATCCTTCGTATTAGTTACCATAAGTGTGCAGAAGTAATTTTGCGCAGTTGAGTGGTCTTGATTGAGTACCAATCATTCAAGTACTTGAATGAGTATCGATTTTGTACTTCAGATATTCAACGAAAATATGCCCCAGTAAAAGAAGATCTTACCAATTCAGATCTAGAGAAAATGGTAAGTTTGGAAACTTTTTTATCTTTTTGATAAAGCCTTGCTTGATTTGTACATGCATGTGCATATACGAAATACGATTATGTTTGTATTTATGCAACTATTCTCAGACCAAGTAGCTTGGTACTTCTTAGCTGTGTAATTTCTTTATTCCATCCATCCCTTACGATATCTGAACTAATATCAGCCGTTCCTCAAAATCCCAGCCACAAATCTACCTTCCGTGCTAGCTAGCCTTCTCTTTGGGGAGTTTACACACTACCCTATTCCAAAGGGTTCAAACAAATCTGGATTGTGTTTGATTAATTGCCGTTTTCCACTTCGCCCGTATCGTACCGTAACGTACCGGTGAGCATGCGCAGCTTGAAGATGGGTTTTCAAATTTACGTACTTCCGGTTGATTCGCGTATAAAAATAAAAAGTTCGTCGCAAGTCAACTTTTTAGCGTACTACGGAAGTATTAACCAATCAACATTCACTAAATATTGAAATTTAAAATTTGTTTTGATACGTTACTGTACGGTACGCTTGAAGTTGAAAACGACCTTGACACCACGAAGATTGACAAAAATACACAGAACCAGGTTAGAGTTAACCAAGGGTGAACCGGGGGTTGAAAAATGGGACATTGGCGTAAACGTATCTCTGCTAATCGTCGTAGTTTAAATCAGGCTGTGAAGATTGGCAACCATTTGTGGATCCAGTGTTTGGTGCTGATAATCTAATGTTGTTATTCATATGAACTTAGGTTGAGCTAACCTTGGAAGAAACAGAGACGATATGGTTGTTAGATATTCCTGGAACAAGTATTAGTGAGGAAAGTGATATTGCTCAATCTGTAAGAGATGCCAACTTACGCTATGCTGAGGTGAGTATCTCAATGATACACTGATCCCAATGAGATGCTGAAGTGAGTATCTCAATGATACACTAATCCCAATGAGATGCTGAAGTGAGTATCTCAATGATACACTAATCCCAACGAGATGCTGAAGTGAGTATCTCAATGATACACTGATCCCAATGAGATGCTGAAGTGAGTATCTCAATGATACACTGATCCCAATGAGATGCTGAAGTGAGTATCTCAATGATACACTGATCCCAACGAGATGCTGAAGTGAGGAGTTTCGGTGGCGCAGTCGTCAGAGCAATCGCCTTTCACTTCTCAATCTGTTGGTTCGATTCTCGCTACGGACTCATGTGAAAAGAGTGAGTCAACTCTCTGCCGAAATCCGTGGGTTTTCTCAGGGTGCTCTGGTTTCCTCCCACAGGGAAAGTTGACAGGGTGGGTTAGGATAAACACAGTTAAGAAAGTAATATCACAATTGTTGTAAAGATAAAATAATCTAGGCTAGGTATGTAATTAGGTAAGCGTAATACTTGATGTAAAGCGCATTTGATTACATCCACATGTAAACTTACGCTATGGAAATGTTAACTGTAGTCGTAAGTGATGTGAGTAGTTACCCTATTGATCTCAACTTGAACAGTGCATGATTACTGAATTTTCTCACCATGTACGTGTATCTAATTGAAAGACACAAAAACTGGAACAACCATTCACGTTGTACACGGCAAAAAACGCTCAGGTTGATGCAATACTGATGAAAACAGGATTGAACAATGTTTTGCTGCCCACATTGTTCATAGCTGTCAACAATATTGAACAATATTGTTACACCCGATTCAGGCTCAACAACATTGTTCAATATTGCTGACAAGTGTGAACAACGTGGGCAGCAAAACATTGTTCAGTCCTGTCGAACAACGGGCTCGGCGTTTTTTGCCGTGTAGTCGTGGGTGACGTTAAATTTTACAATTCCTATTGCATGATGTTACTGGGTCAAGAAAGAAACCCTGGGTTTCTTGTTGCAATTACTAAGGTAGAATCAATCAAACAGATCTATTAAAGGAAATAGATAAATGTCTAGAGTAAGGAAATTAGTGCGTATTGTGTTTGTATTTTTGATTTTTCTATCTTTTGAATCGATCCAGAGAGCATATTAACTAAACGTACTTTTAATGCACAGATAATTGGCACTGAGGGGGAGAGATCATCAACTTATTTATAATTTCATTATAATTTCAACATTATAATTTCAATTAATTATCTATTCATTGCCTGCCTCGATTAGCCTTTGCTATTTGCAGGCAATGATAATTTGTATATACTTCATTTTGACCATAAATAAATTTGTTTGTTTTTGTTTATAGAACGTTTTATAAACGTCATGCACGGCAATGATATCCTATGCCAATTACGGCAAGACACATGGTTTCAATTTCCTTACATAACTTGTTCACGTGCCTTCAAAAAATTATCCATATTTTTGATCGACGTTAATTAGTTTTCTACAGAATTTTTTTATTTCCGCCTGGGTACGAAACATTGCTCCAAAATCTTTGCAAACTGCAATTCAAAAGATTATGGCATGCAGATGATTTAAATGGCCAGAAATGTTCTTGTAGGAAAAATACAATTGTTGTTCTATTTTTTTACTAAACTGAACATTTCAGCCATTTTCAGGTGCTCACAAAATATTTGCTATATATATTGTCTTTATACGAAGCCATTACTAAACATACATTATATTTTGTTAGGCATTAAAAACTAGACCTGGCAATGATAGTTTTGTTGAGAGAGGAATGCAAACATTTAATAATGAGCCAAAGAATAAAGAATTACAAACTGTTCCTGTTACACAAAACGTATGTTCCAGATTTTCTATTTATTTATTTCACTTCGCTAAGCACAAACACAACATAAAAACATGAGACACTGACATCGACAACCTACAAACAGCAAACATATAGTTCTACTTTAACAACAATAGACCTTACCGATTATTTTCTTTTACCCAATGGCCTCGTTTCCATGTTAACTTATTTTAGCATGTCAGGAGCAGATAAAGATTATATTCCCATGTTTTCCTGGACGAATTTGTTTCTTGCTGTTCTTAGGCTCAATAACAAAGTAATTTTCAACACTACTAAGCACAACACATGAGTAAGTATTTGACATGAAAACGAGGCCATTGTGTAAAAGAGAATAATCGGTAAGGTCTGTAGGACACGACAACAGCAGAAGCCAATTACCTTGGGCTTTTTATGACTTGTTAATGAAGTTGTCACCAGTATTTTCAGTAACCGCTATACAGCAGCAGATAGTTTTCAACCAAATCTCTCAAGTCTCAATCACCACAAACAATACACCTTTTCGGAAAGTACCCTCGTTTTCATGATTGAGATCTCGACTTAAGGCGGATTTCCAGTCTTCGCACGAAGCTCCTCGCTGCGAGTGCTTGCATCTAATTAAAATTAACTGTTTAGCATTGTGATTGGACGAAAGTGCTCATGCATGCACTCCTTCGTGCGAGGACTGGAAATCCGCCTTTAGAGCCCTTTACCTTGTTACTCATGACCTAATTATGTAAAGATCTTTTAGATTATCTATGATAAAAGGTTGTAAACACAATATCACGAAAACGAGGCTGTATGACCAAGAATAGACGTATTAGACTTGAATAGTCGTGGCGTAGTCGGCAGAGCATGCGCCTTTAACCTCTGAGTACGTTTGAACGGTTTCCTCGCATAGGAAAATTTGACAGGGTAGGTTAGGATAAACACAGTTAAGAAATTGATATCACAATTGTTGTAAAAATAAAATAGTCTAGGCCAAGTATGTAATTTGGTGGGCGTGGTACTTGATGTAAAGCGCATTTGATCAGATGTAAATTTGATACAGAATGAAAAGAGTTAGCACGTCATGCATTTTCTCATTTCCTTCATAACGGGTGGTTGACTATAGCACCTGCGACACGATAGTGCAAGCTTGGCATAGAAATCACCTCCATATTCATGATTGATTGCACCACCAGTATCTTTATAATTTCTTTGATTCTTATTTCAGGAGGTAGGTTGTATGGCCACAACATGGGACATGCACGATGTTTATGCAGAGTCGGCCAGCGAGAACAAAGGTATTAACTTGCAGTACTTTAACTGAAATAAAGACAGGTGGGCCTAGCTGGCACATATCCACTTCACTTCATAGTGTCAGATCGAACACATGCAGATCTGTCTTGTATGCTCTTGCAAACGATGTTATAATTAGTGTGCAACGATTTGTTGCTACGCTTTAAGAGCCATCTTTTATGATGAAAATAGGAGCCCAGCATAACAACAAAGCTTCAGTTGATAGAGATTGCAAATGTCTACCTGAAAAATATATTAAGGAGAAATTCGAATTTCTTGTATTTTTCAGGCATATACATCTCTAGCAACCGAAGCTTTGTTATTATTGGAACTATCTACACTGGCACTCGGATTCCCCCTTCCCGAAAGGGAAGTTGTACGTTCAGCACCACATTGCTGCCCACTTCTTTCAAAACGCCTCGTACTGCAAATTATATTGGCAACCCTGAAGCTGTGTAGCAAGGTAGTTACTTACTATATGCCAAATTAACACAGCGCTAAAACAGATGTCCAATATTGAATTGATATTTTCAGACGAGGAGGCAAGTGGTGCAGACCATATAAGTCTAAGTCGACCAACAAGTGCTGAGAGAGGCAGTGCAGCTGATGTTGACAGTGGAAGTACTTCATCACCAGCTATACGTACTGGAAGTGCGTTGTCTGGAAGCATGTTTAGTGGTAAGATATTGGGGAAATGATAATGAAAACTAGCTACTCCAATATGGAGTCACTACCTAAGCTTGAAATTACCGTGACCATAGATTAAGATCCATTCCAAGATTGGCGGCTACCTCCACAAAAATAAAATCTAAAATCTCCACACAACGTTTCTGAGCACAATTTTGCAGAGATGGTAATCACCTGACAGTTATAAGAGTGAGGAAGTGATGTAAATTATTTTGGTAATGTTTGGTGATACTCATTACAGCTAGTGCATGATAAAATATCATGATCATAGAACACATTAGTATCGAAGGTACTATACTTAGTTCCGAAATACCACACACTCGAGCAGACTTGGTCCCGTAGGTCGCGGGTTCGATTCCCACCGTGGTCAGGCTAACTTTTCAGCCTGCCCGGTGTAGACATACACTCAGAGTAACATCAAAAACATTAATGCATGTTAAATCTATTCCCTTCATGCATCAATTGCATATATAGCTGAGTTTGAAATTGTGTCCTATTCATATCCGGTTATCCACGGTCACCTCTGGATACCTTTTCTGGAAGTGCATGATATAATTAGAAAATGAGCAGTGAAATAAACCATAATTGTATGAAGAACACTGGTCCAATATAGCTATGCCGTAAATTCTGACTTTAATAACAAAAGGTAAAGCCATTGGTTGCTACACTGCCACCAATATTATTAGTTGTTTCACACGATCCTGGCGCATTGATTTTGGTAATTACATGTATGAATGTAGGAAGTCAAGTGAGCATAATGACGAAACTTTCAGAAGATGATTTATCAAGCAAAGATGAAAAGAAAGATAGTGAAGGTGAAAGTGATGGAACAGTAACCAACGATCCAAATCATCCGTTATTAAAAGTAAGTCATAATATGAATGAATGCGAAAATTAGTTATCTCATTAAACCATGAACAAATTACATTTGTGAACCAACGTTTGTCTAGTTTCTTCAACAGAGGCAGCGATCTAAAGTTACGATGAATTCTCAATTGGATGTGTGAAGGTCAAGGATGTGAAGACACTCTTACGGCAGATAGCAACTGCCAACCCTACAAAGCATGCGCCATACTCTCAGACAACAACTTTGACCACAACGCATAGTGTACTGTTTTCCACTATTACTTTACCACTAACAAGTATGACGTATCTTCTATCTACTATAGACTGAAACGTTAAGAAAAGATCTGTTTACAATGGAGAGGGTGATTTCGTTGAACACTTTTCAAGCTAGACAAGCGAGATATCGTGGTCTTGCCGTGGTTCCAGGTATTAGATTGACCAAGATAATAGATCTTATCATGTCTTTTAATGTAAAATTGCCGCTCGATACAGTAGTTAGCTCTAGCTTCAATGCTGTAAAGTGCAGTAAGATATGTACTAAAATAGATTAAGGTACTTTACCATATGTTAAGGTACAATACCATATGTTAAGGTACAATATCATATGGTAAGGGACGATACATCATGATAATAGCATACGCCGTGTTATAATATACATAATCCGCGGTTTGTGATGTGATTTGTCTTGATGACAACGTTCTTATTCTTCAATAATAAAAAGATAAGATATTTTGTGAGGAAAGTGAAGTTAAAGTTTTTAGGTAAATCATAAGCAGAAATTTTGTATCCGATACAAATTAATGCTCTTTCAATATCATGATTTCCTTTGGCGTTTCTTCATGAGTTAACGAGTGCTATGTTTATGGAGGATCATGGAGTATGATACGCTGCGTTTCGATTGGCTCATTGTGGTAACTTACACTATGATGAAGTACAAAACATGAGTGTGTGAGTATTATAATTGTAATTTTATTCTGTAATACAGATATCGATGAAAAAGTAGAAAAAGATCCAGACAAACTTCCCTCGCCGGTAATCAGTTTGACTGAGCTGGGTCCTAACTTGGATAAACTGTGGACTTACTCTTGTTCAATGACTAAAGGACGTAATGTCAGCTGTATGGCCTGGAATCCCCAAAATCCGGTTAGTAGTTTTAATTCAGTCCAGAATTCGTCATAAATGATAAATGACCAACCTGAAAAGGGTTAATGAATATACACTTCTATCTTAGTTTCGAGTAAAGGCATTTCGTCGGAATATTTCATTACAGTTAGTAATGATAGCTAGCCTTCGCTTGAAACGTCCGACTCTTTTAGTCTTCAGGTAGTTCCAACCAAAACTAACATTTGCAATACGATATTTATATTGAATTTGATACGTATATTGGTATGTGCCAATAATTGGAATGCGATACATATATTGGTAGTGACACCAAAGAGGCGTGGATTGAGTGGGTAGAAGTAAAGGGCCTTTCCTCGAAACGTCGAAGTTTTACTTGAATCCCTCTCAATACCACTGGAAAACATTTTGAAAATCCATAGAAGGTCATAGAATGGAAATTGTCAGGACCTTTATTGGAAATAGAATGGGTTTTGGTTATCCATATAATAATTGTATATTTCCATAGTATGGATATAGTAAGGAAATAGGATGGATATACTATGGATTTAGTGGTGCAATTGCAAATTTCGTAGTATGGATTTCATTTTTTTTTCCAGTGTCCGCAGCTTTCATACGTATATTGAACCTCCCTAGTTAATAGAGTTGACTAGAAAAACAGACAACTAAAATGTTTTGATAGTAAGAATACGACCAACAGGAAACATGCATGAAACACGGTTGAACGCAACACAGTTAAAAGACAGTTGAACACATCGAAGCATTTGTTCCTATCTCAGTTTAAAACTTGCAGCGTTAATCAAATGCACTCTTTCGTTAATCACGTCACGAATTCTTTTCTGGCCTGTGAGCTTCACGTTGTCATGAATGAAGACGAAAGACTATTCACTCACGATTCGTGAGAACGAGGCTCCCGGATCAAGGATTGATTGGTGACGTAATTATTGAAAGGATATATTTGAAGTCATATCTTCAACAGTTATATTGTGAAACACATGGATATGTTGCGAGGGTGTGTGTGTTGTGTACTCACTTGTGTGTCAGTTGTTCTACTTGTAATTAAATAATGAAGAGATAACATATTGTTACATCCTGGCACTTTAGGACATTCTTGCCGTTGGTTATGGAGAATTTGAGTTTTCCAATCAAAAAGGTGGTATTGCCTGTTGCTGGTCATTGAAAAATCCTGAGGTAATTTGTTACGCTTTCAGTGGTTACAGTAATACGCGCATTCGATATAACACCTCCGTGGTGCGTTAAGCTGGAATGCGGAGATTCGTGAACGGGGGTGGGGGGATTCGTGAACGAAATATCAGAAAAACATGCTTGGAGCAGGATGTTGGTGTGTCGGTACCGTGGAGAGAATAAAATATCATGCTCGCAGTTTCCCTCTAAAAAGGCTAGTCATAGCATACATCAATGACAATCACTCATGTAACCAAAATACCTAGGGCCTTACCTGAAAAGTTAAATGGCCAGCCTCTAATACAGTGTTGTAATTCGGTGATTAAACTATTGTTTTTACTATTAACTGTATTTATCAGTTTTACACCGAAGAGTATATTCCATGCACAAAAATACTCTTGGCGCTGCGGAATGAAATAGCCCGAGGAATACCCCGAGTGAAAGGTCTATAAATATATTATAGTGAACCTTGTATAGTTTTTATTTGTTCTAGATAGAAAACAGATAGCATTCAATTCTAAATTTTTACAGCTCGAACGGGAAAACCGAGACCGCTTTTGCATATTTTTAATGTTTTCAAACCAACCAAAACCAATCACCAGCGGGTTATTTTGACTAAACATTTTGCGGTTATGAACTTACGACATAGCTATAGTTTAAAGATAAAGAGCAGAGCCCAGCAAGTAACTTTAAAACCAAACATAATAAAAGTAAAAAATTTATTAGCTAACGTTTCGTTGTTTACAATACAACATCTTCAGAGCAATCTAAATGAATTTACAGGGTATGGTATATATATTTACAGAATAATGGTTTACCTCAACCATGATTAATATCAACAAATAATAATAATATAAATATCAATATCAATAAATATAATGATTAATATCATGGTTAATATCATGGTTTATCTCAACCATGTCTAGTATACTCGCTCACATGCACAAACACCCAGTCTCCGCTTCTGATTTCAAAATCCTATCATCATGCAGGCACTTCTGAGTGGGATCTTCTTATCCGTGAAAGCCTATTAATATCTCAACTTAACCCTATCCTTAATGCTAATATTAGATCTACCCCTCTTGAGTTATTTTAAAAATGTAATATTAACCTTAACTATACTAATGCACTAAACATTAATCTTTACTTATTAACTAGTTACTGATAAGTTCTTTTCCTTTCTTTTTATTCATTTGTTTTTTCAAACTATGTAACCATTTTTGTAATATTAAACCATTATTTTGTACATATATATACCATACCCTGTAAATTCATTTAGATTGCTCTGAAGATGTTGTATTGTAAACAACGAAACGTTAGCTAATAAATTTTTTACTTTTATTATGTTTGGTTTTGAAGTTATTTGCTGGGCTCTGCTCTTTATCTTTAAACTAAGATTTCCGCCTGGTGTATCGATTGCCACAGTTTTACATAGCTATAGCTCTAAATAAACCGCTGCTGATTGGTTTTGGCTTAGTTTAAAAACATTAAAAATACGTAAAAGTGGCCCCGTAAAAGTGACCTTTGTTTTCAATACACAACTTTTGAAAAACTTTGAGAAACAACAATTAACAACTTTTGAGAATCCTTGTTCTGTAACCTCCGAATTTCATCATTAACTTCATGTTCTTCTTCACTTTTAACATTTTCTGGGATACATGATTAAAATGCGCGCGATCGCAGGCACCTTTTGAATTTGTTTAGGTATACATTTTGAAATCTCATTAAAAAGGATATTTAGCTCTGAAAACCTAAAATACGATGCATTTTTGCACATTCTGAACTTAGGAATTTTGCTCTCGGGCACTGAATAATATTAATGATCCCTGGGGGTACGAACGTGCATTCAGCACTGAATAATATTAATGATCCCTGGGGGTACGAACGTGTATTCAGCACTGAATACTATTAATGATCCCTGGGGGTACGAACGTGCATTCAGCACTGAATAATATTAATGACCCCTGGAGGTACGAACGTGTATTCAGCACTGAATAATATTAATGATCCCTGGGGGTACGAACGTGTATTCAGCACTGAATAATATTAATCACTCCTGGAGGTACGAACGTGCATTCAGCACTGAATAATATTAATGATCCCTGGAGGTACGAACATGTATTCAGCACTGAATAATATTAATGATCCCTGGAGGTACGAACGTGTATTCAGCACTGAATAATATTAATGATCCCTGGGGGTACGAACGTGTATTCAGCACTGAATAATATTAATCACTCCTGGAGGTACGAACGTGCATTCAGCACTGAATAATATTAATGATCCCTGGAGGTACGAACATGTATTCAGCACTGAATAATATTAATGATCCCTGGAGGTACGAACGTGTATTCAGCACTGAATAATATTAATGATCCCTGGGGGTACGAACGTGTATTCAGCACTGAATAATATTAATCACTCCTGGAGGTACGAACGTGCATTCAGCACTGAATAATATTAATGATCCCTGGAGGTACGAACATGTATTCAGCACTGAATAATATTAATGATCCCTGGAGGTACGAACGTGTATTCAGCACTGAATAATATTAATGATCCCTGGGGGTACGAACGTGTATTCAGCACTGAATAATATTAATCACTCCTGGAGGTACGAACATGTATGCAGCACTGAATAATATTAATGATCCCTGGAGGTACGAACATGTATTCAGCACTGAATAATATTAATGATCCCTGGGGGTACGAACGTGTATTCAAAGCCAACTTCCCCGCTATAGCGTGATACGAGTACCATGTCCCTGGGAAAAGACCCTTGGGGTTCAGTTTCGCTGAAAAATATTATTGTCATGTTGTTCAAACTTATTTTGCTGATTGAACAAGCTTACTGTGTGGTGTAACTTAACTGCTGATTCTCCTTTCCTAGTGGTGTATTTGTACTCCATATTATCACCATTTCTGTATATACATACGTATTTGTGCATCACTAAGTCCAGGATTGTGTTTTGTATAGTATCCTGAAAGAGTATTTCATGTTGAAAGTGGTGTTATGACACTTGGTTTTTCACAGTTACAGCCAAATTTACTAGCGGTAGGTTTAATTTATGCTTGGGAATTTAATAATTATATAATATTGTTTGAAAATTGCTCAATAATATATTATAATGTAAAATGGCTATTAAATAAACACTTCTAATTTGAACTATTTCAAATGATGTTAACAGTGATCCTACAACAATCATTTATATTCATCACCATATCACTTTTTATACTTAATAATAATAATAATAATAATTATATTTATCCAGGATACCCACATCACTTACGTGTTTTTCAGTGGGGTCCTGCATCAGAATTACAATTATTTACAATATTAATTATTGTCAATATTTAAATTGTACAAAAATATACAAATATATACATGCACGTTACAACGATGATAAATAGACCATTAATTTATAATTCATAAAAATGTAATTTAATTTAGTCAGTAAGCATGCAACGTGCCTCAAATGGTAGGAAAGAATCAATCGATTCACAAGTCGGAAGTCAAGATAAAAATGCTCAAAATTAAATTAAGCGTAGAGACACGGTGCATACCCGAACTAAACTGTACACATATATTTAAAATATAT